GTTTAGAAGTAGTTTGATGATTTTGAAACCCTGTTTAAAAATATCAAATAAATTCAGAAAAATATAAAACTTTGGAAAATGATTGTAGACATGATAATAAACATGTTACAAAAATTGGTTTTTAAAAAGGACCTCCCAAATAAAAAATATCATCATTTTGTAAAATAGTCCAAAACATGAAAATGTGAACATATGAGTTTTGACATTTTAGCTTAACCATGTTTTGAAACAATACAAAATGATTTTATAGACTTGAAGAAAGATGTAAACTATTGTTATGAAGTCTATAAACAATGAATATAGTATTTTATCAAAATACACATATTATGAAACATATGAGTATGAATATGAATATATATTTGTTATGATTGAGCTTAAAGTACTAACACACATAATATAAGACCTAAAACTAAATTTACCCAAGCTTGTGATCTTCAACGAAGCTCTATCTTGGTATACTTGCGGATGAAGATTTAACTTGAATCTTTAACTTTGAATTGCGTAGGCTTCACTCCACAATTCCGCCAACCTCCATTGGATATGATCGTGAATGCGCAATTCCATCCATCCTCCAACATATTGTTTGCCTAGAATAAATATAAGACACAAACACTAGACAAATAATATTAGATGTAAATTGTTTGTAAATCATCATCAAAACAAGAAGGCCAACAGTTGCCAGTGCGATCACTGCACAAGCGGTAGCATATAGGGAATTGTGTCTATTCAAGATTAGATTAGCTCGTAACTCAGTGAACATTATTGCCAATAAAGTTAGTTAGAGGGATATATAAACTCATTATAAATATTTCATATTCTGACTGACACGGAATAATAATACAACACACAACGTAATGAAACAATCGGTAAAACCGTAAAAGTATTTTCTCCATGATATGCTTACAATTAAATTGGCATAAAAATTCATGTTAGCTGATACCTGTGTACGCAATATTCATCTGCCCTTACTCAAAAGAGCATTAATGCAGTCAGTGGGTTTTTTCTCTCTTCTTTTTCTTTCTTTCCTCTCTTTTTTTTTTGTGGTTCACCAGTCACCAGACAGGGATATGGAAAGGAAATTGTTTAAGAGATGAAAGGATAAGGATGCCTCTAATGGATTAGCTAATTACTGAATACTCTTGTCTAAAAATGGTATCTTTTCTGTCTGACGTATGCATAGTTGACCACGAGCTTGCCTAGGGTGTATTTTGGTGTTTTTTTGCATTGTTAAAATCCTTTTTAAGGAAGGACTTGTATGTGTACTTCTTAAAGAGATTAAGTTGCTTGTTATTTTTTAAGAGCGAGTGAGCAAATAGGATGAAAAATTGATCTGGTTGCTAGATTTCATAGACGATCATGTGACAGAAAATTAGTAGGCATGAAACGTGAGCATATGAATGGGCTTTGTGTTGTTTTCAATGTCCAACTTTGCAAAAAAGGGAGTTTACTTCAACTCAGCATACACCAAGTTAAAAAATGTCCTTGAACTTCCTCAAGAATTGTACCTTTGCAATTATTAATGATTATATTCCTATCCTTTCATATCTATCCTTATAATATTGTCAGTCTTATGTTATGTGTAAAGATTTCATTAGTGAGTACTCTATTATCGATCTTTCCTTCTTCTTCTTTTTTTTTTTTTTGTTGTATCCTATCAGGAGAGGCAAAAGCCATCCTTGAAAAGTCACAAGCAACTGCAGAAGGACTAAAAAAATTGTCTGAGGCCATGAAAACAAATGGAGGTTCTGAGGTAACAAAAACTTCATGTCTCTTCGTAGCCTTCTGTGATCCTGTACCTTTAGAGAGAAAATAGTAGATATAACCCTTTGTGCTTTTCCTTGAAATCTCAGCAGTAATATATTTACCGTTAATTTGTACCATCTTGAAAAGTATCCACGAACTACTTCAAGCACAAAATCTACCACCTTACATTCTAGCAAGATGTGCTTATCGTTATACAACTATATTTTTATTTGCAGGCAGCAAGTTTGACCGTTGCTCAGGAATACATCAAAGCATTTGGACACATTGCTAAAGAGGTGAGGCAACTAGCATTTAAATTGCTGGGGTCTTTTTACTCTATGGTATTTGTATTGTCTGATTTCTTTTTCTCTCTCTCTCTCTGATGTCCTTCTTGTGGTTGTTGCAGGGAACTACACTATTGCTACCGAGTGGTTCTGAAAATTCTTCTTCCATTATAGCTCAGGCTCTATCCATATTTAGGACGCTCAGTGGCAACATGTCTTTTGGTGGCCCTAGTGCAAATCCTCAATCAGCGTTGGGCAATAATAACAAAACTAATGCTTCCGAACGTCTGAAAGAACTTGAGTCTCCAACTAAAGTTGGTGATCTGGATCGACAGGAAGAGCTTGAAGTTCCGGACTCTGAGATATTATCTGACTCGAGTGTTAGTTCTGATCCAAATGTAAAAGTGTTTTCTCTCCAGAGTCAAGAAAAGTAACAAAAGTAGATCCAACTTGCATGTACACTTACAGAAAGGTAGTACACATTCATTTTCCCGAAAATTTGATCATACCAGACTTGCAAGAATGCGTACTGCATTTGTCTCAAGGGGACTTGAAAGATTTTTGACATTTTTATATGCTTCAGTTGTTAAGAAGATGAAGCATTCATAGAGATTCTTTCACGTTTGGCTTCCCTTGTTAAACGTCTGAGGCTACATTCACCCATATCTCAGCCCTTTTTAAGCCTCGTTCTATAATCTGAGATGAATTCTGTATTTTCTGTTCTTTAAATTTGAGTTTTTTTTCTATCTTTCGAAGACATATCTGAAACAGCTTCAAAATGAGTTGCTTCTGAAACCATCTTTGTTCAGCTTTACAGATTAATCTTTGTATAAGCTGATTGATCGCTTGCTATGTTCGCTTTATCTGAAGTGATCAGATACGAAAGTATAATTTTGGGTATGCGGCCATTCTGTCTTGGTTCAAAACATCTGCGGAAGTTTCGTTTCTGGCCATTTGTGACGGTAAGTAATTTGATGGCTTCTGCAGAAAGTTATGTTTTGTTTTAGAGACGACTGCGACATTCGTAATTAATTTGTGTTATTTGCAAATAGAACCCATGTAGCATCAAGCGTATGCTGTGCCACTTATTACGGGTTGACTCTGCGTGTATATGCAGATGTCCATATGTTGTAGCATCCCTGTTGATTTATTAACGGTGCAAATATACCCTGATTTTTAGTTCCGAAAAGGGAGGGTCAATTTACCTCTATTAAACTTAAAAGTGATAATAAGCAACGCATCGTGATACGACAAGATCAGGGTATTATGTGCAAATAACCCTTTTCCATGTTACGTGGCATATGCGCGATGCAGAGACGCTTCCTTTCGGAAGGCCATGATGATGGATGTATCATGGTGGGTATCACCACGACGATTGCATGGGATGGAGTCCATGGACATGACTCAGTCCTAGCAAGCGAGAACTTGCGTCCCATTTATTAGACTCGAGTAATCGACCCTCCGTCCTTTTCTTTCCTTATTGTTCATGACTAGTTCTCTAGACATATGGGCTTGGTCGGCGGGGGTGGCGGAGTTGTGGCGAATTGTAGATCTGAATCTTGGTGGGGTGAGTGGGTGGGTGAAA